AGAAATAAATGTATACTAATCACGCCTGTGCATGTATGGATGTATTTCATCAGTTTTTCATATTGCTATTAAATAATCCTGGCCACATGCCACGTTACAATTGATGGCATAGGTAATCCATTAAAGGAAGTAAGATTTCATTTTGATAGCAATGGTAGCTCACAATTACAAGCATAAAGAAATTATAGATAATTTTTCCCAATTTGGACATTCACTGCGACGATTTCAATCATTAGTTTAACAAAAAGGTTGCGAATTTGTTTTTTCCGGGAATTCAACAAGTACATCCGGATGAGTACAGATGTATTCATGACCGTACTAACTCATAGTGTTAAGCTGGTGGAAGTCAAAATAGATCGATTTATCTGCAAAAGTAACACATGAAATATATTTTTAAAAGCCCTACATATTTTTTTTAATAACAAATTATATTTTAATCATACGGAATCATTTCCCAAAATTTCGGCATATGTTTTTTTATCATTCACGCCTACGTCAAAGATGATACATGGACATCTTGCACAAATTAAATGTTCTTTTTTATATGTTTCTTAATTAATATTGAGTTTTGAGGATAAAATCAGCTGCTATATTTCCAATAATTTCCTTTTAGAGGACATCAAGCTCATTATAACGGCTTAGCAGAAACTTTTCTTTAGACGCATTACAGATTACGTGTTTACATGTTACATATTACTTTTTATTCGATATTTAAATATTATTACCCGAAAATTTGTTTGGAAGATGTTTCTAATATAGTTGGTACGGATCAAATTCTATTTTAAGCTATTTTTCCAGTTCAAGACAAAACCCTGTCATGAAAATTTGGAATTCACCATTCAGAAAATGCATATACAGGGTGTCCCTGAAAAGGATGGACTACGCTTGACCACAGGTTCCTTGGATGAAAATAAGACTATTTAGCCTAACTTACCTATATACAAAAATGCACGCCTACTGGGATATAGCCTTCTAAATATAGAACAGATAACCTAGTTTTTTTCAAAAAATTTGAAAACTGTTTTTCTTAGAAACTTCAAATTTGGTATACATATTTTTTTATACAAGGGCTATCCCGTAACTTTTTTGTGCGTACGCCATTGACGACAGAATTTATATTTTTAAAAATAAGCACTATTAGAAGATTTTTTAATTTTAGCTTAGTTTGTTTTTTATTGCCATTTATACTTTTGCTGAACAAACTGATATGTTATTGGTTTTGGGTTATTGTGAACCCAAAATTGTGGGTTGTGCTACTGTTTGAATATATGCTAAAAGATTTCCTAATCGAAGAATTCCAAATCACAAAACATTTGTTAATGCGGAGAGACGCCTTCGGGAATCAAGACACTTTTTTACCTGTAACATTAAATCGTGGATAACGTAGGTACGGCAGGAACTATTCAGCTAGAGGAACAGATTTTGGAAAGAGTCGAAGAAATTTCTAAAGTAAATACAAGGCGTTTAGCGGTAGAGATTGGCTTTAAAAAAGTTCCGTTAACAGAGTATTAAAAGACCAGTTATTACAGGTTAGTATCCTGACAGGTGGATAGGTAGAGGGAATAATGCCCCCGGATCTAAACCCATGTACTTACTTATTTCCTTTGGGGAGCGTTCAGGACCACATTTTATAACTTTTCAGTAAATATAGAAAACGAATAATGGGAAAGAATACAACATGGAATTAATGTTATGAGAGGTATTGGATGAAATTCATTTTAATTTTCGAAGAACTAATGCTTGCGTTTAAAAAAAAGGAAGTCACTTTGAGCATATACTGCAATATATGTTTAAAATGTTAATGTTGACTTTCTTACATTATTAGTTGATATTGTTTATTTAAAATATTAGTGTTGATTTTTATTTTATTGATTGATAATACTAAGACTAAAAATGTGTAGTTACATGTGATGTTTTTTCGTTATTATTCCCTGCTTTAAGGCTGCAGTTATAAATTATTTTTTACAAATCGAAATTTTTGCTTATATTTAATGTATAAATTATGCCAATTTTACTCGAAATCCATAACGTTATCAAAATTTTGTAAGGGCAAAAAAATCTTTTAAAACAATGCTTATTTTTAAAAATACAAATTCTGGCCTGACTGGCGTACACACAAAAAAATTACGGGATAGCCAATGGCGCACAGGCACTAGAAATATAACATCCTGTATTATCACCAAATTTTTTATTTACAGTGGGTGTCCAAATTATTAGGGACACTACTCATATTTATGAAGTTTCTAGTTCAATTTATTTTTTTGAAAAAACAAATAGATCTTCACAAGATTTTTTTATTTTGTATTGCAGCTGGTACTGTTATTAATATTTTTGTTGAGTGTCAACCTGATATTCTACATCATTTATCAGATAAGTGAGGTTACTCTTCATATGGTGGTAATTTGTTAAAAATTTTTGTTACAGAGAAATGCTAAAAAATATTTCTGAATCGTTTTTCGTGACTTTTTCCTATTACAAATTATCAAAACGTTATTGATATTTCGTATAGAATTACCATAATAAACAATGAAGGAATTGTAATTTCCCTAATGACAGTCCGATTGGCAAAAGAAAACCTAATCGGTCGTTGTCGACCCAAAAACCACCTCTGATGGAGGTCATGAAGAAGATGCGCTGCAAAGAGCCCAATAACTCCAGAATATGACTGTTGCTGACTGCATTCAAATGAGAACAACGAATTAAAATAGTGCTAATAAAGATTTTTTTGTGATTATCCCAATATTTTCCGACGAATCAGCGTTTCAAATTTTGGTCGACAAAACTTCATTTCTCCGACGACGTCTTGGACAGAGCAGTTCCATCCAGACTGCCTTGTGGTGATGGTTAAATACCCGGTTGGTGTCATGGTATGGTCTGTGATTTCAGCAAAGGGCATAAGACGCCTATACATCGTGAAGTGGATCATGAGGCAGGATCCATACAAGCGAGTACAAAAAAATCCGGCTACTGCCACATATCGAAGAATGGTTCCCTGGTGATGCCGAGTTCATTTTTATGTACGATTCGGCATCGAGCCACAAAGCCAGTAGTGCGTTCCTGGCCGAAAAACATTACCATTTTTCCCTGACTGGGTATGAACCCTATAGAGAACATGAGTTGGGACTCACCAAACAGGCGTTTGCTAATGAGGTGATCACCACCAAGCACCAATTGGATGAAACTCTCATCAGAGAGTGGCATCACAACGTCGAACTCCAACAGAATTGTAAAGTCTGTATAGAGAGCATGCCTCGAGACATAAAAGCTTTAATTGCGGCAAAGAGTGCAACACTAAATACTAAGATTAATTTTAGCAGATTTCCATTGATGCACATATATAGCTTTTACGAAAAAAATTAATAGTTTCTCCCACGTAACTCATTGTTTTTATGATCTTAGTAGCACACTCTTTTGAATAAAAAATAGCTACAAGTCATAAAACTAACTGTTTGTTAAAAAAAATCAGTCAAACTAGAAAATATAAGAAACTGAGTACTGTCCCTAATAATTTGGCCACCCACTGTACGTTGCGCTTAAATAAAAAAAAATAAGTATACCAAATTTGAAGTTTCTAAGAGAACTAGTTTTCAAATTATTTGAAAAAAAAATAGGTTATCTATTCTATATTTAGAAGGTTATATCTCAGTAGGCGTGCACTTTTGTATATAGGTAAGTTAGACTTATAGACTTATTTTCATCCAAGGAACCTGTGGTCAAGCGTTGTCCATCCTTTTCAGGGACACCCTGTACAAGTAAAAATTTATAGTTATTGACTCAGTGACCGTTCATTCTTCTAAGGAAAACAGCAATAAATACACACAGAACGATTATTATTAAAAACTATGTATAAAAAGGACCACAGAATATGCATTTTTTCTTATTTGAATGTACTATCAGTCGTCTTATACTCTGAAGTAAACTTATATAACTGGTACAGTGAAGAGATATTGTTTCTAACTTGTTTAGATTTTCTAAAGTACTAGACAAAAAATTGCGCATATAAATGTCCCCCAAATTGCTAGTTTGGATGTTTTTTTCTTATATCGTTTATTTCTGTAATATGTACTTACTCAGGCCCGGATCCAGAGGGGGTGGCGATGTGGCGATCGCCACCCCCAAAGCACAACATTTTTTAAAGATCTTCAATTTCTCCAAACGACAACAGGCAGTTAGTCGATATTAATGTAAGTAGAAGGATTCATTAGTGTCAAACTCCTCTGAAAAAGTGCCACATTTTTCATTAGTTTATTGCTATTTTGCAATGCAAATTTTAAAAATTTTGGTTCGCCAATATGCCTATCTTGTACAACATTCAATAATGAACAAAAAATCTATAGTTACTTTTTTTCGTCCGAGGCTTCCTTTACGAATAATAAGCGATAATATCCGAAAAAACGGGCCATTTTTGAATTATTTTGCACTTTTCATTAATTTAAACAAACTTCCCATGGTTTTCAGCTTTCCGCAGGTCGATATTCCGAATGTACACATTTTCCCGGTTCGATTAAAAAAAACAGGTTTACATCAAGCAACAGCCATTTCGGCTCGTTTTTTGGCTCCGCCGACTGGACTATTATGACTTTTAACGAAACGGAGACAGGTCGATAGAGCCAGTCAATAGATTGCCTGTCTGCCTGTTAGGATTTTCCGTACGCCTGTCTCAAAACGTTTATGGCGCAATAAATTTTTATGGCTTGAATGGGAAATTTTGAATCTCAAAACCCGGAATTTTTTGATTACGCATTTTCTTGTCTCTTGGAGATACCCACCTACCTAGATAGCGTTCTTTTGTAAAATATCGATTTTTTTTTCAATAAATATATGCATAATGTTTTTAGATTAAATATCTCTTGTCATTCAAAAATCCCCCCTCCCCCTTCCTAACCTACACCTTACGTCATCAAAAAAATAACAACAACAACAATAATAATAATAATAATGATAAAGAAGTGCTTTGCGCCACCCCCAAAACCAGTCTCTGGATCCGGGCCTGTACTTACTTGAGGTAAAAGAAAGCACTAACGTAGAATTGGTATTTCTCTTCAAGATACATCGCTTGGCCGTATTGCTGCACCCTGTAATTTCGAGAGACACTATCGCTCCATCCTCTGACCCTGGAAAGATAAGAGTTTATGTCAGCCAGTGTGAGTTAAGATAACATTACGAAAATATTATTTGCGGATGAGAAGGAAAACGGCAAACTGAAATTTTAAATAATACACATGTAATGCAAACCACTATTTATATTAAACAATATTTTATAGCAGTTCATAATTTCTTTGTAAAACACATCTTCCTTCGTAGAAATTTACAGTGGTTCAAATTTGACTTCTCGGCCTTGTTATCGGGACACAAAGCATGCAAATAAAATAACTTATAAACTCAATAGGGTCCGCTTTAAGCCAAGAATATTCTTTCATGATACCCGAAATAGAGGTTATGGTGTCATCGGTAGTTGTCTTCCCACAAACATATCCAAATGTTTTCACCATCAGAAAAGGGTTTTATTGAACAGTTTTTATTCTTTACTTTTATTCTCCCGTTTAGAAACTATTCACTATAATTTTCCAAAAATAAATACGAAAAGTTGTATTGGATGTAATATGGATATAATTCATAGAGATAAGTGGACAAATCACAATTTTTTTAAGACATTAATTGTCATTTCCGGCGCATATTTGTTTAAGTTTGCAATTCCTTTCCAGGAACTCTGGAAAAAAAATATTTTCGACATAAATGGATTCTATTTAGTCCCACTTTTAAGATCATAAGTTAAATTTTTTATTTTCTTGCAACAAGATGAAGTCGTTAAATTTGAAACACCTTGAACCTTGTAATCTGTTATATCTGTGTTATTACTACTTTAGAAAAAAACTGGTAAATATGTTTTCTGATTTTTTAATGATGAACAAAATATATACAGGGTAGCCCATCGAAAACGTACCGCAAGGTATTACAGGGTAGTAATGAACTTTTCGGCAAAATCCAAAAACAGGTAAAGTTTTCTTCTGAGGGGGACAACTTTTGGCGCAAAAAGCATAATCTAAAGCAAAATCTTCAACCCCCTAAGTGGGGGTGCCATCCCCCAAATTTTTTTAAATGGGAATGGGGATCAAGTGGGAGGTCATTAGAAAGGGCTTTTAATTCTCTATACATCGATTCTTACTTTTTGAAAATCGATCCATTATTTTAGAAAATATGCAGCTTTGAAAATACCAACAATATTTTTGACGAGAAATGCGAAAATCGATTTAATTTTACTTCAAAACTTACGGTATTAGCTTGGTAAATTCCTTCAAAAGAATTCGCTGTTTTTTTTTTTGATTTGCGAATTCTTTAGCCTGATTTTGGTGAGCAAAAAATTGTCCGCTTTTTGTTTCGTATTTAGATAGGCCACAAGAAGTTGCTAGATAACTGTCTTGTGACTTGTAGTTGAAGAGTACCAATACTGCCGAGTCTTTTAAATTGATTAATTATGGTGTACTCAATTCCAGAAAGAGTAGAAATTATTGAGCTTTTTTTCAAAAACAATGAATGCGGAAATCGGGTCGCCGAACTGTTCAACCAACGGCATCCTGAGAAACATGCGTCTGGAAAAATTGTTCGCGAATTGGTGGCCAAATTTCGCGAAACTGGCTCCGTTCATAACAAAAAGAGGCAGGTTGAAAATCCGGTACTAAATGAACCTACGGAAATAGCGGTATTGGGGCAAGTGGCAATGGATAGTACGCTGAGTACAATGCAATTGGCTACTGCGACAGGAGTGAGTCGTACAAGTGTCCAACGAATATTAAAAAAATACAAATTCCATCCTTATAAGATTCGGCTAGTGCAAGAGCTAAATGAAGACGATTTTGATCGTCGTTTGCAATTTTGCGAAATAATGACTGAACGAGCGATAAACGATAATTTCCTCTTTAATGTGTGTTTTTCGGACGAGTGTACGTTCTTCTTGAATGGTTTAGTGAATCGCCATAATTGTCGTTACTGGGCTGATACCAATCCAAGGATTTTCCATGAGACACACTCCCAACACCCCCAGAAGTTGAATGTATGGGCAGGTATTTTTGGAAATTCCATTGTAGGTCCTTTTTTCCTTCCTGGAAATTTGACAGGCGATATGTACTTGGATTTACTACAAAATGTCATCGACCCAGCTCTAACAAATATCATAGAGGACGACCCTGCTTACAATGAACACGAACTGATTTTCCAGCAAGACGGAGCTCCTCCACATTACTCGCTCAATGTGCGCAATTACCTAAATGAGACGTTTCCAGGACGCTGGATAGGACGAAGAGGTGCAATTGAGTGGCCCCCTCGGTCACCCGACTTAAATCCTTTAGATTTCTTTCTCTGGGGGCACATTAAAAGCAAAGTTTACAGCACTCCACCTGATACCTTGGAAGATCTGCGAGGACGAATCATTAATGTATGTCGCGAAGTAACACCGCAAGTGCTCCAGAATGTTCGACAACGGTTTGAAGACAACCTGTATCATTGTATGCAAGTTGGCGGACAACATTTTCAGCATTTACTTGACTAATACCGTAAGTTTTGAAGTAAAATTAAATCGATTTTCGCATTTCTCGTCAAAAATATTGTTCGTATTTTCAAAGCTGCATATTTTCTAAAATAATGAATCGATTTTCAAAAAGTAAGAATCGATGTATAGAGAATTAAAAGCCCTTTCTAATGACCCCCCACTTGACCCCCATTCCCATTTGAAAAAATTTAGGGGATAGCACCCCCACTTAGGGGGTTGAAGATTTTGGTATGCTTTTTGAGCCAAAAGTTGTCCCCCTCAGAAACAAATTTGACCTGTTTTTGGATTTTGCCGAAAAGCTCTTTACTACCCTTTAATGCCTTGCGGTACGTTTTCGATTGGCTACCCTGTATGTACATATACATATAACAGTTGGGAAGCTTTAAAAACTGTTGTGTCATTCATATTTTTCTCGATAATTAATCAGCTCATTGTGGGTATATAGGAAGATTGTTTTCTGAATTTATTTTAGTAAAAACAAGGATTGCTCTTGATTGAATTGTTCAGAAAACTCTAACTTAATTGAATTGAGTTCATTAGTTTGATTATTATCATTATTATAAATACAATATTCCTATCAGGATTACCCAAAATATATTTTTCATATTTACTTGACAATCGGAAGTATCAATTTATTTACAAAGTATAGTTAGTATAAGCACGTTTTTATAAATTTTCATGTCAGTTTTGTGTGCATTACCAAATCTATCTACATTCTTTTAAAAATTATAATTTTTCATATAAACTAATCCAAGAAATCCACGTGTATTTCTTATATCTTCTAAAAAAGTATTTTTGGTAATACGAAAAAATACAAATAAATACTTTTCTTTTATCTTTATCATTTCTCTTTATCTTTTTAACTTTTTGCTTTAATATTTTTAAAGAACTGTGGTACGTGGTGGTAATAGTGATATTAATAATGAAATTATCTCAACAATACAAGCCACTTTCTTGTAAAATGATTCCTATTTTAATAATTAAATTCCTAAAGTATTAAGCGAATGACAATAGCTACACATACAAGTGAATAGTTGTAGCAGTGAATGAAATGATATATTAATTATATGGCAAGAATATTATATGATTATAATATTTACTTGCATGTTTAAAAACTGGAATACGATTATTTTATCAGCTCTAACTAATCAATAGACTGTCGTTTGAAAACTGCTTTTAACAATGTGTGCTGCACTACGTCGTCTACATTCTAAACTCGTTTTGACGCAAAAATGAAAAAAATAACAGTAGAAAAATATTTTATATGATAAAACGGAAATTCTACATTAACCTATAATTTCACGTTTTTTATGTACTGCCATGAAATGAGACATTTTTATATTAAATAACATAAATTCTCAAAAATTCGTATTGATTTAAATTCACACCGAAATAAGGAGAGTTAAAAAACAAACAAAACTGTCTTACCGCAATCTGAGTACCCGCAGGCCACAAAACTACAGCACAGGATTAAACTTAGGCTAAAAACTATGAAGGCTTGCATTTTTTAAATATAGAGAGCGGGAGAGATGTCTTGGCTTTTCGAAACAACACAACCGAGTGAAGCAATGCAAGGAAACTGCTGACGGTATTTACAACACAATTCTCATTATCTCTAATTCGATTATTTTAGCTGCGTGGTGTGCTGTCAACACAAGATCGTATAAAGTGACCAAATGGTTTTAAGCATGTCCAGAAAAAAAATGCCAAGTGAAAAATGAAATGTAATTTAAGGTACCTGAACAAAATTCTGATACGTTGCTTTTGATAAGTATATTATCACAAATTATGTTTTTGATTTTTTTTTATAACTAATATACCTACCTACATAATGCCACCAATTTTGTTTTCTTTCTTATGTTCCCTATCCTGCAGCGTCTAAAACTAATAACTGCATCAACTGTTTCTCATTCTTTTTAATAGTGCATTATATTTTTTAAATAGTTTTTCTTTTCTTTTGGATATTGTGTCAAAATGCTAATTTAAAATGACTAACAATAAGAAATGATTAAATAAACCCCTGTTTACAAGAATCAGTCATGCAGTAGTTGTTTTTAATAAATGATTTTTTTTTTAATTTTATGATAAATTTATTGATAAACACATTTTTCACAATGCGTGTGTATTTTGAAAAGGGTCTACTCTTTGAGTACATTTGGCAGTTTTTATCTAAAAAGCAGAATTTTTGAAAACGAAAGTAGAGAAGCTTTTGAAAGGTTATCGTGTATTATGAAAAGTGTTCCTAGTGGTGAGTTTATCTACTGTCATCGTGGAAAAATAATAAATTTGCTTTGTGGCAAAATAAAACAAGTATTAAATGTGTATTGTGATGTAAATCTAGTTCATTTGTAAAAAATGAAGGATGAAACATCTCAAGTATATTGTAAAACAATGGTAGAAGAAAATATTAAAATCATTAAAGAAATCAATACAATTAAATTTGTTTATGAGAGGAAAAGTGTATCTTATTCAAATATTCTAAAAAAAAATGTACCTATTGAAGACTAAAAGAGAACAAGCTTGTGACAGAACTACCCAGGAAGTTAAAACGAAAATAGATTCAGTTTAATTAGCTGCTGGTGTTGGTACTTAAAATATAAAGAAGAAATTGTTATATTAGCTGTAATATCTAAGAGAAAATAAGAAATGAAGTAGTAAATGAGCTTGGATAAAAATATCAAGTCGAGGATGCCAAAAATGATATCGGTAAATGCAGAAGAAAAATATTTTTATAAATCTGATGAAAAATAGTTAAGCATATACTTAGTTGTATAAAATAATTTGAATGTGGAGGTAATGCAAAAGTTGAAAATAGTAATGAAATACGGAAACAAAAATAAAAACTGTAAGCATATTATTTTTGAAATAAATGTTGGATAATTTAATTATTTAGTCAATAAGAAAAATGTGTACCTATATTATTGGATGGACAATATAAGTCCAACGTTGCTTCAACTGCGGGGGATACAATCACTTTCAGGAAAAATATACTTAAGCCATGTACTAACATGTACTCGCTGTGCAAAAAATTACAAAATCAATGAATGTAATGAAAATAATACTATAAAATGTTTTAATGCTGTGCAAAAAAGCAAAAAATAAAACTAGATTATCATCATATAGCAGCGATATAAATTGTCCCTATGATATAAGACAATTTAAAAAGAGAAGCTGATAAAATATAAACAATAAACAATTGGAGAATGATAGAAAGATCGTTTATTTAAAATGTCTAGTAGAAAAATAGGCATCAGTTATATGTTTAGCTGAAACTTATACTGGTGCTGTGGTGCTGATATAAAATAAATGAAGAGAAATTAATTGTAAATATACAAAAATTGATACTGAAAATAGAGCAACTGCTGGTGTATTAATGATGACACGAAATAGGTATAAATTCAAAATACTCCAATGTTATAAAAATATATATCGTTCATCGCAATGTAAATATTACCTATTTCAGAGAATATAAAAAGAATATTCGGGTAAGTATAGCATTTGCGGTGACTTTAATTATTATAATCGTTCAGAAACTTGTTTTTACGAAAATTAGTATATGGGATTACACAATGTGATATATGTATACGAAATACAGTACATAATAAGATAATATCAATCGATCATGTTATTTCTGATGAAAAACATCTAGAATATTAAGTTCATGGAACATCGAAAATATATATAAAGATTAAATAGAAATTGCAATAATTACGATAAAAATATTAATCGAGAAAAACTTTTTAATATGAACCCATTATAATATTGAAGTGGAATGGGTAGAGTGCATTTAATTCAGTTAAAAATGCTTTATTTTCTTTTCTACTAGTTTCGGCTATTATGCCACCACCAGGGAAGAAGAATGACAATCATTGGAAAAGAAATTGCTGCATTAACTATATTAATGAACAACATTATAACTTGTTTAAATATAAAAATATTTATATTAATTTTTAAAAAACTTTAGTTATCGCGACAGATTTAGGACAGACAATAAAATGATGTCAGCTCCAACTATTATCTTTTATTAAATTGATGTATATAATATGAATGTTAACAGCTTTTGTTAAATAAAAAATAACAGTCTTATGCGAAGTCTTATCTGAGTGAATTTTTTTCAGCGTTCATAGAAATTGTTTCTTACACGAAATGTAACATTTTAAAAAATCTCAACGATTTAAGTTTCGGGAGCGGAAGTATATGTAAAGGATATTCATCGTTTCTGTAAATATTCATTATTTAACCTTTTTGGGTTATTGCTGAGCATGACTAGTATTCAAATTTAAGCGTCACAACTTTGATAACGATACGTTCGACGTATGTCAGGATTTGAGGTACGGTAATTTTTTTTTTTAGGAATACCTGAAGAGTGATGAAATGTATATAACATTGTTAAGTCCCTCAACACGACAAAACTGGCGGAGTGCGACCTACTAATCTGCAGGTACTGTGAAAGCAAGTCCGGCAGCGAAATAAAGTTTATAATTAATGATACTGTGGCCCCAACAAGAGTATTGAATTACACCTAAAACATCAAATACATACCTAAAATCATTTGTTAGTAGAACCACTAGATATTTGCCAGAGTCTAAATTATAGATATCAAAATAAATAAATAGTTCGTCGATCGTCTCACCTATGACATTCTGACAAGAACTAAAAAATTCGAAACCGTTATATGTCCGATGGTTCTACTGACAAATGATTTTAGGTGTTTACTTGATATTGTGTGTATAACTCAATGTTTGCCGGGGCAATAGTCTTCGAAGTAGTTGTTCCCAAAATATTGTTTAGGTATAAATGTCTTTTTTTCTTCTGAAAAAAAAAATAAATAAATAGAAAAGTGTAAATACGGCTGTATATTTGCTAACATAAACAGTTTCGTTCTACTTTCATTCCGTTTTAGAACAATAAAATAAAAAATATAAAATTCCGTAAAATAACATTTTTTTTTTTGGAAGAACTATTGGGCAATTCCATTTTTATTTTTAGTTTGGGATTTCTTTCACAACAGTTTTATTTTTTTCTCTTCCAAATTGAACAAGGAATTCAAATATAATTTTTATTTTAAGAAAAATCACTGACGTATCATTTTTTTCTTTAAAAATATCCAGAGACGTGCCTTTGCGCACGTCACTGGTGAATCTGAAAATAATATTTTTATCGTGAAACATGTATTATTGTTCACTGTCAAAACCTGTAAATTTTCATTGAAATATTTTGAGCGGTTTCCGCAATATTTTTAAATTTACATTTTAACTTTAACACCCTGTAGATCGGAAACTAATTAAGTATGTTAATAACATTTATCACAAATCACTTGTACCTCTTGCAAGGAATGCATCGACTTACCAAACAACCTGTATAGATACTATAAACTATAATACATCTAAATGTTTAAAATGACAAAATATTATTTATACAATTTTATTTGGGTAGGTACTATCTCAAATAGGGTCGTTCCTTTCCAGTCAGCGGCAGAATCCTAGTAAATAGAATTCTGCAATTCTGTGGTTGTCTTACCTTGCGGCATAGACGACTTTATTGATTGTTAAAACAATACATCCGTGTAATTTGTGTTGCCTGACCTAAATTATTTTTTTAAATATTTGTTTTTATATTGTACAAATTTGTAATCATATTTTTAATTCAATTAAAACAAAACACCTGAACAACCGAATCTTTTCTCTATGTATGTTAAAAAAAAATAAATTTCGTCTGAAATCCTTATTTCCTGACGAAACAACGTGAACGCACTCAAAAGTAACACGTCATAAATTCGTATGCCACCGTGGCCGTACGTTGCGCTTTAACGAGAACGTGAATCGTGAATGTAAAGTGTTTGTGTTGGTTACATTACCGTAAGTCATCGTAACTTCTCTTGAACCGAATAGAAGTGTTGACGTTGATCATTTTTAATTTGTGCTTCAATAAGTTAAATATTAAACCGTATTACACACTAGAAATTTATGTAAGTATAAATTTTAAGACCTAATCAAATTGATTTAATAAAATGTAAACAATAAATGCATTTATTCTCGTGATTTCTGAATTGGGATATTTTTCTAGAAAAATGGACCAAATCACAAAATTCATTGAACCTGGACGTCAATTCGCTAAAGATTCTATCAGATTAGTAAAAAGGTGTACGAAACCAGATAGGCGAGGTAAGTAACATGTAACGAGGAGTATAAGGTTTTACTTTAAAATATGTTTACAATATGCTATGAAATGTCTTGTATTGAGAAATATTCAAGTAGGTAGGTAAGCCTTATTTTCAAAAATTTCGTATTATCTACATCGACATAAAAACTGTTGTTTATTTGTTAAATAATCGGCTTGAAAAAAGAACCTTATGAATAATAATTTCGCCAGTTCTTCAATTTCAGGTACACGTAGTTAAGATATTAAATATAAATCAAATAAAAAGTTAAAATAAAAAGTTTATTCAAGACTACGGGATAATAATCGATTTGTTATAACCATGTAAATTACTGTTAAGATTGATCGATCTCACTGTTCTTAATAACTGGAAAATCGTATCTAATTTAAAAATTTACTATAGGTTTATTCGTTTTATTGCTACGATATATTTTTCCACACCCACTTGCAAATTTAAAAAAGCTTAATTAATAAATCGAGGTATGATAATATCCGATAAGTGGCAGATTTGTAATATACAATGTTACCTCGTATTTAGTAGCACAAAAGAGTTTCTCTTAATAATTTATAAAATGTAAATACTGTTCCAATATCATTCAAGTAAAATATGAACAAAAATTTTTGGGAATTAAATTAGTTAAGTAAGCAAAAGTATAAACAAACACAATAGGTATCTAAAGAAATGAAATTCCCACCCATACAATTCCGGTCAGTTGCAAGGAATGATTTTTTCTATTTATGTACTTTGGAAGTTTTTAAGAATATATTAATAAAATATTTTTAGCAAAAAAATAAGATATAATAAATATGTGAATAAAAAAATGTCATGATGATTAGGTACACGTTTGTGGTAGGTATATACAAATAAAGTTTTGCTACACAGTTTTCGTCCGAAGATTTTCCCAAATCATAAAAAATACACAAAATTCAAGGTAGTAAGTAGTCCACGTCTGAATATTTTTCTAAAAAAATTTTTTGGAAACAAACAATTAAGACAAAATTTTTCCGTAAAGAGAATCCTGTCAAAAGTTTTGGAGGTTTCCCACTGGGACAAGCACTTCTGTTTTTATTTAAATGTAGAAAAATGAAAAAAAAAATTGTGTACTATAATATACCCTTGTTCCTTTGGAAGCAATTGGCCTACTTTGATTTATTCAATTTCTCCTTGTTGACGTTGGATTCTACGTGTTATTTTGGGTGGACTTTTATGAAGTTTCCATATTCCTAAAATTAACCGGTTTCGAGATATTTAATTTTTTTCAAAGAAATGGAGAGAAACAGTTACTAGCTTCAAACCATGTGTATTTTATAGCAAGCAAGACAAAGCAATGATATTTATAGGGGGGATAGCTAGATCCCTAAGCTTCCCATTCATACTTTCAAAGTGGCTTAATTGCATACAGGGTACTAGAAATTTAATGCTGAGTTTAGTTAACTTCAAACTTTCATAAATCGTTTTTTTTAAATGGAACACCCTGTATGTTTTTCTATATTCTGATATACAATTTTATTCTCTTTTGAACGGTATCAGGGTTCCCTATACCTATCTCTTCTAGTTTTTAAGTTATCTACTGTTTTTTTTGTAATCACCTAAAATCATGTAATTTCTTGTGAGGACAGCTGTGGAATTTTTAGCAAAACTTCAAAACAAACAACTAAACTGACACCAGTTATTTATTATTATTTATTCATAGACTTTGCAATGGGATTCTAAGCAGAACATGTTGGCCCATTTAGAACATTTTTTGGTATGAATAAAGACAGAATTTTTTAACTAGAACTACTTTTTTACACTAAATGAGGGAAGTTTTGCTAGTTAACTCTATCCATGCACGCACAGTATGTGACCGGATTTTTAATTTTAAGGAAAGCGTTGAAAATAGTTATGATTTGGAGGCATAATGTGTTTCTCAAACTTTATTACTGTTTTTTTTTATGCAACCATGTATTCAAAGTAGATTTGTTTTAAAATTAATTTATTTGATGTTTGGGGTAGACTATATTATTTGAAGATTTAAAAAGTTGTGTTTGCTGTTCTTTTTTTATTGTAAGGCAGTAATTAATAAGTAATTATTTTTACAGAATTCCAAAAAATAGCTGTCGCAACCGCCATCGGTTTCTGCATCATGGGATTCATAGGATTTTTCGTGAAACTTATCCATATACCCATCAACAATATCATTGTTGGATCATAATCGACCATATTTCTTATTTATCACTCATGTAATTCATAATTTTTGTTATAGATATAAATTATTACTTACTATAATAAATTCATCTTCCATTTGTGTATTCATCGAATAATAAAAACAAATGTTGTTTCATAAACTATTTTATTTTTAACCAATTGTTGAAAACGGCACAAAACCAATTTGGAAAATACATATATACAACCCGTTTTTCACTTTTACTGGTAAAGAAGAGATTTGCAACTTTTCAGTTTTTAGTAGTGTGATGTGTGATTTTATTCAGTCCGTTTAATTTTTGATAAAGGTAAGACGAAACAAGGTAGAATCTATAAATTTGCAAATCTCTAAAGCAAAGCAAGTTTATCTGAAATTTAAAAAGCACCAAAGGTAATGGTTCTTATAAATATAGGGTGAGGCTAATAAACTGTTTTTATTTAGTGAAGGATAGATAATCGTGCTTTACTGTCCATTTTTTTTCTTTGAGGAAGTGTGGAACAACTTGGAGCACTTTCTCCATTTTTTTTTAAACCAACATGTATATATGTTTCAAAAACTTATTCTGAGTAGCACATGAACTCTTGTGAGTAAACTAAAGTATTTTAAGATTTTATACAAAAATAGAAAGTTTTGTGTAAAAAATAAATCTGTGATGGCACAAGAAATTTTTAATGGTGTCCTACCAAATTATGAAAGAAGTCCTAAATTTATAGATGACTTAACATCTTATCACATTTTCACCTTTTAAGTATTTTGTCTTTTAATTTAGAATTAAAACATATGCCATTTCGTGACATAAAAAAGGCACTGTTTAAAATAAAAACAAACTGTGTCAAATATTCACAACTACCTTGCAAAAAAAATTAGATAGTCTCCATAGAAAATTGTTTTACGAGCTCCAAAAATCAATATTTGACTCAGTTTTACAAGCATCTGTCCTAAAAATATTAAAAAGCATTTTCTTAAAGCAAATTATCCAAAATAATTGCCTAAGTAGCTAGGTAAAATATACCTTGAATATAACAAAAAAAAAATGTATTGAAATATAGCCTAAAATTACAATCACACATTTTAAAAAGCAGTAATACCTAATTATAAGTTTATTTTATTTTAAAAAACCACCAATTTGATTATAAACAAAACAAGGAAAAGGAGTGATTAGACCATGGCGTCAAATATTATTTTTGCTCTATTTAATACATTTTAATTCTGTCAATCAGTGGGTTAAACATCGCAAATGGTAACAATGAAGCCACAGAGAAAAATCAGTATTATTTCCTGGAATGAATAGAATTTTAAAATAATCAATTTAGAAGGATGTACTTTACACAAACAGTTACTCACAGGGGCCCTATTATTTGATGTAGTTTAATAAGTAGCCATTTGAATATCTACATCCATCTAATTTTAGTACAAGTATTTTTTAAATTTGAAAATAAAGATTAAAATTCATTGGAGCAAATAATCAACTTTATAGTGTATCAAATTGATGCTTAAGAGTGTGCACTTACTTTCTACGTTTACATCTGTAATAAAATTTAACAAAATAGAAAAAATAAGTTTATAATATCCATTCACTGGTTATTTCACATCAATAGGAATTCTGAATAGAACAGGTACATTTTGTACTATCCGATGCCTAATCGGATTTTTTTTTCAATACATTTTTTACAAATCACTAAGTCTAAAGTAGAGGTAAATGGAAAAGGTACAAGAAATAGTTTTAAAAACTAATACTAATATAAGTAAAAATAGAAAAATATGTAATTAAAAACAATATTAAATATTTAACACACAATAATATTAAAAAGTAAAAATAGATACAAATTTGGCAGTAATATACAAAATATGTTAATAAACATTTAAATAATATAATAGAAGTAAGAAATACTATAATTCTATTACTTGGAATGCTTATTATGCACCAATATTACATTTGTAATTATAACAGACATAGGTACACATCTAATATAATCATTTCAACATTGGTAAATTTTCAGATCTGGTAACAATCAATGAGGTGGTATTGTTAAAAACAACAATTAACAAGTTATCATAATTTACACAATCAAACATCACTCCAGATATCAGTTTCCGTTTGAAGAAAAAATGCATTACAATTTTTTTATATAGATTACTTGCATGAAGCCGTATGTTAAGGTTTCCCGCTGATTATAAATTTTGCTTTTCGTATTTAATCATAATTGATACTACTTGGTTGTTGCACATCAATCATCGATTACTTAATAATAATAGTGGTTTATAGTAAAATATGAACCAATTATGTTGTCCTCCCAATCTACCAACATAATAGTTTCACTGATCATTTACACTGGTCCCTATAGTTTAGTTTGTTGATTAAATATTTTTCTTTAAGAATATTTAGATGTATAAAATAGAGGCATATCAATTAACACCATTTGAAAGTCATTTTCTACGTATAAGTCTTTAATTTAAACTGGTCAATTTTGTGGCATTATCATTTGAGAGTTATATGTCAAAATAAAGTATCTAAAAATGGATCAAGACCAGTATAATGTGATCTTTTTACCTGATAAAGAAAATTTGTTCAGCTGAGATTTATCGACTCGATGCTTCTCTATATCAAATAATCTACATTTTTACTTATGCTTTTTTCCCAAACAAGAATTGAACACAGTTTATTATCAACCTAATTGCTTAGTAAATGCATTGTGTTTCTATTTCTTATAGCATAAAAATTAAAAAGTGTATAAACAGATAGAAGTATACATTTCAGTGACAAGTACTCAGTGACTATTAAATGTTGGACTGTACATCTAATAAGTAAAAACGTTGATAATTCTGTGCGATAAAACAAAAAAATTAAAAAATAAAAACAAACTCTCAAATACAAAAAATATAATACACAACAATATGAAAAGAGAAAAAGTTATGCCATACAACCATTGTCCAGTCCTGTACTACTATAATTTTGGTTCTCTGAGTAATTGTGGCATGGAGAATTGTAAGGGTATGTGTCCAAATTGGTATATTCACTAAACTCATAGTTTTCGTGCACTTCCTCTACTATTATACTGGGTGGTTTGCTATAGTTGGACTTGGAGTATGTGATGTTCGAAACTCCACCAATATTTGCTCGTGTGGAGTACACCTCCACCTGCGACCTAAAACAGAGGTCTCCTGAGGCTGGTCGACTGTAGGAATGGGTCTCCATGACAGAGGAAACGGGAGGAAGCCTGTAAATATGATCCCGGGTTACAGGACCGATATTGTGCTGACATTGTGGTCTATGTAGAGATAGCACTTCCATTAGCGACCTCTTCTGGTTCTGTAGCTCCTGTAGCTGGGTTTTAAGGTCGATGTTTTGGGTTTCCAGGGTTTCTGATTCATGCACTAGATTGGCGGTGCGTTCCCTTTTCTTTAGACGGCACTTTGTTGCCGCTATTTTGTTTCGTTCCCTTCTGCGCCTACGCCTTTCCTCATCTTCTGGAGTCAACTGAGATAAAAAAAAAAACGATTTAGTATATGCTTTCTTTAAGTAAACTTGTCTTGACTATTATCAACTACACCAGAGTTAAAATCAACAGATTTTTTAAAATCATGTTTTAAATCAAGGAATTTTAGTTAGATCTAACAAATTAAATTAGAAAATACAACTTTGCATTCATTTACAAATAAAATACTATCTGCACTGAGTCTGCAACAAAATAAATTATAGTACTGGTTGATTGATTATGGAAAATCCTTTTTTAAAGGCATTATCGATGTTTTATACAGGTTTCCACCAGTCTAAGAACTTCGCATTTTTATGGAAGATTTCATCGAAGTTAGTAAATAGGTACTTAAGTTGTACCATATTTTTGTTGGAGAAAAAAATACAGACAAATGGTACTTTTTGATGATCACTAGAAGCATCAGAATAATGAAATTTACGGTATGCATGATCAACTTTTGCGCCATCTATGAATTATAAAAAGTGTATTTGTCTCTAATGTAGATTTTGACACGAAAAGAATTAATTAATTAATTAAATCGAAACAAAAATATCCTTAATATAAAAGTAATAATTTTTAATGGAGTTAATATATGTATATTGATAAAAAAATTGAAAAATAAAAAATTATAGCGGTTTTGATTAAAATAATCATGATTTTTTATTTACATATTTTTTGAAAAAAAAAAGATAATTATCAATCCTGACTGAAAGAGATAAACCTATGTCGTCTTTATCAATTTTGGATTATCCCAGATAAAAATGTTTACAAGTAATCTTGCACTATTTAATTTATTGTTTCAAAGCCGCAATAAAGAATAATGTAAATAAAACAAAAATATTTAACTCGTCAATATATTAATTGTTTGATAAGTTATCAATTGACAATCTATTATCTATGATGTATATTAAACGTTTTTAAAAGAGCTGGATACGTATAAGGATAGGTACCTCAATACAATAAAGTGGTAACAACAGACTTGACGTACATATGATATTAGAAAACATATAAATAAGTCAAATTTGGGACTACTTAAAATTGTTGTACCTACATACATTAGGGTGGCCCAAAAAAAAACAAATATGTTTTTACGTCTTGTGAAAATATGTTAGTTTATCATGTTTTAAGAGCCCCTCAAAAATTCAGCTCAAAAAAAATTTTTTTAGAGGTCGCTCAAAATTTTTAAAATCGTCAAAAATATCATTTTTTTTAAATTTTTTTCCCGTTATTTTATCATTTTATAGGTTGAAAAAAATCTCGATTCTGAAAATTTCAAATCGATATTTTAATTTCTAAAGGTCACTCATAATTATTTTAACTTTAAAAGTAGCGTACCTACCTAAAATGTTTTCGAGCGAGTTCTAAAAATAAATATCAACAAACTAATATTTTTTTGATTGAATTTGATGAACAAAAGAATATAAATAAATCACGACACTTACAAAATTTCTCGAGGCAAAATTTACTACCGCACTGTATCAAATATTTATATTTTTTTTATTTTTAAAAATTTAAGTGTCTCGTGATTTATTTCTATTCTTTTGTTCATCAAATTCAATAAAAAAAAATATTAGTTCGTTGATATTTATTTTTAGAGGTCGCTCGAAAACAGGTACACTACTTTGAAAGTTAAAATAATTATATGACCTTTAGAAATTAAAAAATTTGATTTGAAATATTCAGAATCGAGATTTTTTTCAACCCAGAAAATGATAAAATAACGAGAAAAAAAAGTTTAAAAACAAATTCAATTTTTGACGATTATGGAAATTTTTAAAAATCTTAAGTGAGCTCTAAACAAATTTTTTGTTAGTTGATTTTTTGAGGGAGCTCTTAAAACATTATAAACTAACATATTTTCACAAGACACAAATATCGTTTTTTTTTGGTCCACCCTAATGCGCATGCATTTAAATTTGGAATATACCTACTTATAATCTCGTGAATTTAATCAATATGGAAAATATAAAACTAACAACAGATAGACATATTTAGATTAGTCTAAAATTATTAGAAACTGAACGCTCAATTTTCAATTTATTTATTTACATAGATATTGAAGGCCTTGCTGTAAGTCATTTTATGAAAAATATAGGTACATTAAAATGTTTATAAACTAGGAGCCTTGAAAATTACCTACCGGATTCTTAGGAATTGTAAATTAATAATTAAAATATGTTAATTATACGAATGGAAAGAAAATCAGAAACATTTTTTTACCTTTTTACTTTTGTGGATACTTTGTTTTTACTATTTTATAAGTAGGCAATTAGTTACAGTGCAGAAATATATTTTTCAAAGTCAATTATTTTAGAATGTATTAATTTGAAAAATATAAAAAAAAATTATTTCATGTTATCTTTAACATTATATTACTTTGGACTCAAAATATCAATATATTTAAAACTAAACCTTTTTTTTGTCAGCTTATCTTAACTATTATTTATATTTATAAAAGGATGGGCATGAGTGCTATTGTGAAAAAGTAGATACCTACCTATCAACTTATAATTGAAAATTGTTTATTTAAGATGGATTTTCAAAATTGTGGGGAATTAAAAACAGAAATACTATAAAATTATCGTTAAAGGGTAAACAAACATTTGAGTTTCATGACGTGCTAATAATCAGATAAAAGCTCGGATAAAAGATATGTCTGTACAGTCATGTCCAATAAAAACCGAGAAAACAGATAAATTTTAATAAGCAACAACATAATTTCGCCAATCAGAAATCAATAATAAATATACATCTTCCAATGTGACACACAAATCTTTACGTCAGTAAACTGCAAATGCAGGACATTTAAAAAATTTAAAGATGATGGCATTGAATATAAATTTGCAGATAAACATGAGACCTTCGTGACGAGCTGATGTGGTGATAAATAATAATAATAATTTATTGTTGTGAGATTAAATCTCGATATTTACTAATTACTGCTCCTACTCCCATAGAATATTAAAATGAACAATTCAAAATTAAGTAGTGCTTGTACTCGATATGTTTCAATAATTTGCTTGCACTTAGTAAAATTACAATTTTTTATCATCCAGTATGTTGGTTTTATAAATATTACACAGCAATACCAATCTATAACTAATTTTAAAAAAAATCATGAAATATTGTTCAAAATTGCAGAAAAGTTAATTTTAGTATTTTTTCTTGATCTACGCATCTTGCGAACAAGAAAAAGTTTTGTGACACTGTGACGTGTCTTAAAAGAGTACTTCTATCTTTCAATTTCGAATTTAATATTGCATTCTAAGATTTTGTTTCTTTCTGCAAATATGAACGTGCTTGATTCGAATTAGTCACACTGTACATACTTTAGTTAAACTTGTGAAAAATTCAATTAAGTACTCGTGTAAAACGACCTTCTAGATGATGATTATTCCTTATATTTTTCAATAATTAATTACACTTTTAAGTGGTAATAAATTTTACTGAAAAGTTGTAATGAAGAATTATTACAGGCGCCTAAAAATATGAAGTAGGTACTTTTATTGTGTGTATAATAAAAACTTAGTCAACAAGGAAACTACCATTGGAGGCATTGGATACTGAAGGCTAAACATAATAGGCAATGTATACCTACATTAACGGTGAAGAGAATTTTTTAATATATTATGTTGTTTTTGCAAATGTTGTTAATGCTCAGTATAAATATTCATAACATTATTATTTTTATTTAGGTACGTCTGCTTAAATATCTCCAATATGGTGGTAAATAATTATTTAATTAGAAAGAATCAACTAATGTCCGTTTTTTAAAACAAACATTCTATAACTAACCAGAACACAGAAGCATGATTTCTTTAACAATCTAGTCTTTCACACAACCCACATTTTAATGTACACAGAAGAAAAACATTATTATTGCCAATCACATATCCATCAATAAGCTCAATTTTAAATGGTTTCGTCCCAAAACACCAATTTCTGAAATTATTAACGCACTAACTATTATTACATCTTCGATCAAATATGCTGTTCATTTGCACAAGTCTAATTATAATTTTAAAACTTACGACGACAGTTGGTGAAAAAAAAAAATGACTTTTATAAAATAAAAACAGCGGGTTGTGCTTTCGCACCGATGAAGGAGTGAATCAAATTGAAAACTTGGCCAAGGTACAATAAACACAAATTAAAGGAATACAATATTTTTTTTATAGTTTTTGGCAAAATGCGGCAAAACATATCGCGTTTCGAACACACACACACACCACGCAAGTTATCGTATTGGACATCCGCCAGACGCATATATTGTACAATATTATGTTTTCCTTTACCCACTCGCACAAACCTGTTCCATATGAACAGCCTACATCGTTTTCGTGCATATTGTTACCTTAGTATTGCTTCTTGTGGGTTTGTTATTGTTCCTGAGGCACGGTGAATCAAATTCGAATGTTATAGACGCCACAGTAAACTCGCAAAAATATACGGTTTAAATTGTTGTATGTACTCGGTATGGGTACGTACCTATGCCTTTGAAACACTTATATTGTGATGAAGTGGCTTTAAAATAGGCATAGAATAAAGCGAAGAATATAGTTTTCCGCAGCTATTTCTATATTTGTTAATTTGTATTGAAATCTTCATGTTTATATAGTTAATTTTTAATAATTGATAAATAATAACACTTCTTGTTAGATATTATTCTACAGTATCATGACTTTATAGCCTTTGGTCAGAATTCATCACTTGGTTAACAAAAAGTGTATTGTTTTTGGTAAGCAAACTATCATCGATTTAGTTCTGCATTTTAATTTTAGATTCAATAAGTGTAAAAACAATTTATAAACAATGAATTTTGAGAAATGTTTACTGCTAATCTAAAAATAAAACTATGATTATTTGCAATTATCGATTAAAAAGTCTGTGCAATTTAAAATCCTTTATACGTTTTAATTTAAACAATAATTAACTCATTCTATTTCAAATAAATTGTTAAGAAGTAGTATTTGTTGTTGGGCAGCAAAAATTGGTAAAGGTGGCCCATTTATGCGTCGTTGCATAATATTTTTCGAGACTAGAATATTTAAAATGTATTACTACTTCTTTAAAGTTCCAAATTAAGTGGATACATTAAACAAAACAATTTCATAACTAGCATATCCAAAAGTGAAAAGCGACATGGCCATGGAAACATTAAAAGTTTATTTATGTAAGCCATTGCTGTTAGTATTAATTTTAACGATTTTGGTAAAATACGACAATTATAGTTTATAATACTGATCTATTATTTATTTATGTTTTATATACATTTTTTTAATATACAATGCACTAAATTGTTCTGTATGTCAGTCAAGACCAGTTTATTAGAGATTGAGTTATTAGCCACTTATCAGTCACACAAATTCTTTAATAGATGTAATACAAAACTTTCCCTCTGATTTCAAAAAAGTAAATAAAGGTGTGCAAGCAGCTTAAATGATTCATCAAAAAAATGCTATTTATGCGAATGAAGACGTGCCTATTTAGTAACTGCGTAACTACGAAATTATTCCTAAAGTTCCAAAAGCTTTTTTTCCTCTTGTCTAATAATGTGAGAAATTATTCCAAATCCAATAATTGGAATAAGGAATTGTTTTCAATAAATATGTTATAAGAGCACTTATGTGGCGTGTACACTGGTATATTTACTCGTAGTAATTACTCTTTGAAAAGTTGTTTTCTCACACAAAAGCACTTTCTTCTTTATCAGTTTCAGTTTGCAGTTCAAAACTGAACTAGTCAGAGTAGTGGCAACTGAAATCGTTCACATTGGATTAGTTGATGAGTGCGAACAGAAAATCGGTGGAAGAAAAGGTAATCCCATTCTCACTATACAGGGTGTCCCAGTGTCAGCGTTCAAATATTTACCAGGGGTAGACCAGACCAATATAAGGTTAAAATTCTTATAAACTATTTATCTGCTATCCATTCTCACTGAGTTACAGGGTGTTGTTTGGAAAAAATAATAACAACTTTTCGCAATAACTTAAAAACGTAATTTTTACGTGAAGTGTACATCTATTAAAAGTCATTAAAATGACATGGTGCTTATTTCGATCTGACGCCAGGGGTGACCTAGTCCAACTTGTCCTCAAGGTTATGTCTTCATAACTTTTGCATATCCTAGTTTAATGTAATTTGATTAAGTTCTCCTGAATCTGCAATCGATTCTGAACAAAAAGTGTGCTCTTGTTTCATAGCTCAAAATTGAACCGTTTGAGTCTAAAGGATCGACTGCATTTGACCGCGTAGAAAAATGCATGTAAAGATTTTATTACTTGTTATCTAGTAGGTACCTGTCATTATAAAAAACAAAGTTGTTTACCGTTGACGTACAGTTTCACATGTAGCTGCGGCTCAATGAATATGAAGAAATAAGTTTTATGAATGAATTATTTAATGTTTGGTTACTTATAGGGGAACTAAAAATAAAATTGAAAATTATCTAACAGAAACAAAATTATGTTAGCAAAATGACAATATTAAAAATAAAATAGAATTATTTCAATAAATGCTCGAAATGCTGTCCATTTACTTCAATGCATCCCTGACAAGGAATTGTAAACCCATCGCAAATCAACGGTTGCTTGAACTCGGCGACTGCATTAATTTTTTGAAGTAAGTAGTCTCTCGTGTTACTGGTTTCGGCATACACCAGTTGCTTCATATGATCCCAATAAAAAAATCAAGCGGGTTGATGTGAACGAACCTGGGAGGCAACATAATAGGTCCATTTTTCCCAATCGAGCGTTCTGGAAAATGTAAATCGAGCCACGCAGATACCTGTCTTCCTTTACGAGTAGGTGCTCCATCTTGTTGGTAGTTACGCAAAGCTAAGGGAACGTCATCTAGTACGCCATCAATATTTTCTAAAAAATCCGTGTATCTCTCTGAATTCAATCGGTCTACAATAATTTGAGGAGGCATGACTCCGTTGAAGATTCCTCCCCAGACATTTATGGAGAATCTTCTTTGAACGCGGAGAGTCATATCACATGTGGATTTTCAACGTATCAGACATGACATTTTTTTAAATTATGTATAGCATTTCTCGTAAAGATAGTTTCATCGCTCCACAATATCTCTTGATGGAAATTTTTCGTCATTATATTTTCTAACAACCATCTACAAAATTGTATCCTTTTTTCGGAATCACGAGGATGTAAAGTTTGTACTTTATGTAGGTGGTATGGATGCAGTTCTTCTCGGTTTAAAATTCTCCAGACGCTGGCTTCGTGAAATACCTACTTTCGTTGACACTGGTGGAAGGATCATCAACAACAGCAGATATTACATTTTCTTCTAAAATGTTTGCATCTTCGAAATTACCTCTTATTCTAGTGTTTCCAATTTTAACACTCCCGGTCTCACAGACTCTTGGAGAACTCGTTGGAATACGTGCTGTGAAGGTTGCCTTCTGTTTGAAAACCTGCGTAGATACCGTCGTGAAGCCAGAAATGAATTTCCATCACAGAAACCATAAACAAATATCATATCGGCATATTCGTTGTTGCAAAATTTCACAATACTTAATATCTTGTTGTTTTGTAAATTTAATTTCTCGTAACTTCGACTACTGTAATTCATTTTGACATGTACGCTTGTAAACAACTTTGTTTTTTATAATGACAGGTACCTACTAGATAACAACAAATAAAATTTTTTCATGTATTTTTATACGAATTAATGCAGGCGATACTTTAGACCCAATTTACTCGAAAACGATCCATTTTTGAGCTATGAAACAAGAGCACATTTTTTGTTCAGAAGTTATGAAGACAGCCTTGAGGACAAGTTGGCCTAGGCCGCCCCTGGCGTCAGATCAAAATAAGCGCCATGTAATTTTAATGATATTTAATAGATGTTCACTTCACGCAAAAATTACTTAAATCCCTGAAAGGGTTTATGAGTTATTGCGGAAAGTTGTTATTATTTTATTTTTTCTAAACAACACCCTGTAACTCAGTGAGAATGTGCCGCAGAAAAATATTTTATAAGAATTTTAATCTTAGTTTGGTCTGGTCTACTCCCAGGTACATAGAACACAGGAGGGCAAGAGGACAAAATAATTTCGGTTTCGAATCGCACCAGGCGAGGCGGAGACGGATCCGTTCCTGGGAGCCTACGTGAAGGGCGTTCGAATGTCGGCCCAGGGAATATTATGTTAATTATCCACAACGAAGTTCCTAGTGAGACCGCGAAATCCTTTTTACATATTCATACTGCTCATATATCTACTCCAAATACTACTATATGGAACATTTTGACATCTTATGGGTATTTTTTAAACGAATGATTAATTTTATATAAATTTTCTGTTTTTATGAGATACGGTTGTCTACTAGTCTTTGCTATCTAGGCAGGTCGGTCGATAGCCGCACGGTTTAAGGCGTCAGTACTTAAATCGATGTGTCGAACTGCCCGGGTTTCGAATCCCGCGGTCGGTGACCGTAGATTATCTATACTTGTACGGAGGATTGGCGCCCTCTGTGCAGGTATGGTAGGGCGGAAAAATGTTGGCTTGGGTCAATGTGAGAGATTGACACCGGTTGGCATTTGACCACCCCCCTAATTAATGAGGTTTTCCAGGTTTCCCTCATTCCTGCACTGAATGGTGGTTAGGGCCTACCAACATAAGTCGTTCCTGGGCGCAAATGCGGCCTGCGTAATAATAATATGCCGCCTCCTCTCCCGCACAAGTCTCGGACTTCTGGGCTAATTCTCGTAATTAGAATGAGGAGTAGAGATATTATTATTATTATTTATTTACTGTCAACTTGCTTTTAGTGTATGTGTGCATAAAAAAGGCAGTGAAATTACATAAAACCAGTACTAAAAGAACTAATAGGACAGATAGTGGCTGAAACTGACAAAAATAATTAAAAGCTGCGCGTAGACAGACAATAGCAAGAGAATGAAATACTACTTACTTCATTTTCTTGTTTGATCTTGTCCTCTTCCGATTCGCTACAATCGTTCTTCTTGATCCTCTTGACCTTGTCCATGTCAAAAAGATCTTCCCCGTCGCTTTGTTGTTTTCGTTTTTGCTCGATCGTCAATTTGAGTCCAGCTTTGATCAGTTGAGAGCAGGTATGCTGAACACTGGGCGGATTCGTCGTTGGTGACTCTACTTGGCTGCTACTGGAGCTGTTCGAGTCGCTGCTCATACTGTTCAGGGCCCCATTTCGACCAGCAATAGGTCCATTGGGTGTCTTCCTTGGCGCCTCGTCGCCGAAATTGTAGTTATCGAGAGGATTTGTCATGGCTATTAGAGAATTCAGTATTTCGGGGGTACGGGGTGTGGTACTGGTGCTCTCCACCAGGAGGCTGTTCACGGCATTGGCTGCCGAGGTAGCCAAGTCTACGTTTAAATTATACATAATATCACTTTTTCTTTAAAATTAAATCACAATCAATCAACGAGAAGGACTCGTTAGGAAATACACTTAAATTAGTATTCTACACTCGCAAGTGTCTTTAACTTGTTAGTTCTCACTTAGTTATCTCCTTGACGTCGTGTGTTGAAGCGGTTCCAAGATTTCAGGCGAAGGTAAACTGAAATAAAAAAAATGCTATTACTTTAATTACCCTTAATAATAATGGTTATGATGGTGATGACCTCTCGTAAGCAGAATAAGTGGGGCGAGTACAAAAATATTGTATGCACCTGTTCAACTTAAAATTTCAACTAAACGAATGCCCTATTTTCTAATTCATAACGTATTATGTTTGTTCGAAAGCTTTTTCTCTTGGGACACAAAGTAAAATAAATGGACGTGAAATTTTGAACTAATTACACCGGATGTTAGTAGTAAAACTGCCAATAAAATATTATTATGGGTACACATATGTATATCAACATAAATAAATAATTTGGCATTTAGGTTTCTGGGTGTTTATTGTATAATACACAATACACATACCGATACATATATAATACGAACTATATTTGGGCGTATACGCAAACGGTATGTCATCTTCTTTTAACCAATTTTATAACAAAAGTGAAAAAATTGTTTATACAATTGCAAGTTCACGTGACTCTAACAACGTCTTAGGTCCACGCTGACTATACCTATATGTGGTTTTCCAATGCATTTTTTATTTTTAATTCAAAACACGGCGCGGCAGCATAACTAAGATCGAAACAAAATGTTGACCTAGGATGATTCTCTGAGTACTCTCTTTTTACTTCATGAAAATATACGCATTATGAAGCCCTCTGAAAGATATACTGAGTAAAATCACACCGAAAATATCTCGGACTTCACTTTAATTGAAGTATATTAAAAATAATATTTACTTCACATTCAACATTTCCTGAATTTAAGCGGTAACGCCACTCTAGAATTTTGAAAAAATCGATTTTGGGATAAAAGATTTACGTGGGAGTAAAATCGGAAACACGAGTTTTTTCGAGGTAGAGCGCAACCACCTGCGAGCTGCAGAAGTGCTTATTGTAACTTGTGATAACGCGCGCTATAGCTAGCTATTAGACCTCTTTTATGCACGCGTTTTTCTCCTCTCAACGCGAAGTTGACAAAAACGCTGCGTTTCAAGATACCCTGAATAGAGTTACTACGTTTATGCATTTTACGCTCGTTTATTTGCTCTCGCGTTTTCAATTCTGTCGCGATGGCTTTACAGAACGCTTGGCGACACGCGTTCCGAAAAAGCACGAAAGTATATCGGCGTTTTTATGCAAAGCGCTCTTTGTCGCAAGTCCAGTGGCTCTGTCTGTCAAGAATAGTTTTAGCACAGTTTGTTTTAGTTTTAGTTTAGCTATTGATCAAGCGGGACATGGATGCAATGGACGCAATTGAATTCTATTTCTATTAATTGGATGTACTGCCCATCGCCTCTTACGTTTTCTATTACATATTTTTTTATAGCACAAATACAATATACACGGATCCATTTTCATGTACTTCACTGACTACTGTGTGGCATGAAACTGGCGACAACTGATAGAATACGCGTGCATAAAATGGAGCAGAAATAT